TTATACTTTAATAATAAAAAAGAAAGGATTTTGTGTGAACTTCTTTTCTCAAACAAAACATTTTGCCTCTGTCAGTGGTTCAAGATGATTTCGACAATATGGCTTGGGGGGGCTCTCTGCTGCCTGACGCTGCTCCCAGGTCAGTGTCTGATTCTTTACTGTACAACTGCTGAAACACAAATGTCTTGAGATTTTGGGACCTGAACATCTAACAAATGTTTTGTTTCCTCTTGCAGGGCTGATGGAGGCCAAATCGTTACTGAATTCCATCAAGCAGGAAGGTAAAAATCATTTTTCAGTGTAAATGTCAACTCCTGTCCTTTTGAACTGAATAACAATTTATCAACTCTCCTGTCAACAGAGATGGTTCCTGTCAGTCATGTTAACATCGCCTCAGAGACAGCAAACAACTTCCTGACTCACTCCAGACCCAAACGCAACGCGGACCCGAGGTGGCACCGAGCAAACCCCGACTTCCAGGCTTATTACAGATACTACAGCAGCATCGGACACACTGAGGGGGTGAGACACCTTCTCTTTGGGGGAAAAGTCTATGGGCTACATGTCGGAATGTGGTGCTATGGACAAGTGGACACACTGTCCTTGAGCTTCAAACTTCTTATTCTAGTCTCCTGACTTCTGTAATAAATAGAAAAGGAAAGATTCCTGCTAAAATATTTCACTTTTATCAAAGTGTCTGGTTCAGGTCATGGTACAGACCTCACTTTTTGAGTTGTTAAAATATAAATAATCTGATTTCGAATTATTTTTCTGCTTGACTAAATGAACAAATGAAAAGAGAGTTGTAAAATATGGAACTCTGGTATATTCCATCTGTATTCTCTCTACAGGTGAATTGAATGAGTGTTTTCTTTATTATTATTAATACAAATGAGTGTGTTTTGCTTATAGATTCACTGTTCTCTGTTTGTTCCACCTCTCAGCTCTATGAGATCGACAAACTGCGGATGCTCTACCAGCAAATGAGATCTCTGGAGCAGACCTACGGCCCTAATGCTTCCTATTTCCAGAACAAACTGGGGCTGCCGACGGCCATGTGCGACCCAGCTACAGACAAGAAGTGCAAACCTATTCCTCCTCCACCTCCAATGAAAGGGGTCCCTAAGCCCACCGAACCCCTAGCGACCCTTCCTCCCCCCCCCCCCTGTTCCATCTATCTCCCAGGCCGATGTGCTCTACCTGTGCAACAGCAAGGACCCGCTCTGCAAGCCCCACATCGTCTACCTGCCCACTGGCGCCATCCCAGTGCTCTGCGACCCCCGCTACCACCCGCACTGCACCCCTCAGAAGGCTGCACCCGCCCCTGTGGCAGTGCCCCAACTTCCTCCATCGAAGAAGTATTCCCCACCTCCGCCTCCACCGGTCCTTGTCAAGAAGTCTGCCCCTGCCCCCGCCCCTGTCCGCACCTTTAAGGGCATGGAGTATGACTGTGACCCCTACTGGGACCCCGACTGTCTGATTGATCACCCACCCAGGCCTATGAAAGGGAAGGTTATGGTCCCACCACCACCACCACTACCACCTGTGGAGGAGAAGGAGGAACCAGCACCTCCTGCACCCATCGAGAAGAAGTTTAAATTCTTCCCTCACCCTTACTACCCTATGCCCTACGACCCCAGGGATGAGCTGTACGACCCAGTCCGCTTCAAGTACCCCGAGCCTGCGGATCCTGCGGATCCTGCTGATGAGGCTGCGGAGGCCAGCCAGTAAAACATCTGGGAGGTGTCGGAGGAAACACAAGACTTTTCATTGAAAACATTTAAGTTTCACAATATCCACATTTTGGGGGTTTTCTCTTGTAGCTTCCCTGCGACGGCACCGTCACAGAAAAAGCAAAAGCCTTGATAAGTTGCAAAGTTGGTTTGAACCTCACTAAAGTGAAACTTTGACATATTAACTGTCAGCATGTAAAAAAGCAGTCAACACAAGCATGTAATGCAAATTTTTTGACTTATGACAAATAAAATGTGACAAAACTGTCCAAGTGGTATTTTGTCTTTGAATGTGTTTTTACAAAACTGCATGAAAACCCAAAGAGGAAACAGTTTGCTTCAGTTGCCACATGGCAGGTAAGAGCAGACCAGTAAAGTCGACTTATAGAATCCAGGGGGTCTTTACGTCTAGTGCTGACTCTGGTTAGACCTCCGACTCTGCAGCCATATCTCCCCCCTGCCTCCCCCCCTTTCCTGCTGCGTATGCCCATCTTTCCAAAACCTCCCAAGGCGGTAGAACAGCGGGTACACCACTTCAAAAGACGAGCTAACTGCAAACACTCCTGACAATAACCCTGAAGCTAAAGCAGCGCTCCACATAACTTTCACAGCCTCATTTAAAAGTGCAGGTCTAACATTTTTATGAGCTGTGTTCTGTCTACGCTGTTATAATCATTTAAATTCAGGAAGAAGACAAATTAAAGTCCCATGAAGAAAATCAGCAGATCATTTATTACAAACAGAAACGATAAAACGAACAGGGTAAAATAATATAACGATCATGTACAGTGGATTCATTTCTGCGTTGACCCGAGAGTTTTGTACAAATCTCTTACTGATCGGTGTAATTAAGTGCTTTTAGATACACTTGTGGTTATAAGTGAAAATGGTAAACTGGTCTGAAAAGCTACTGTTGGTTTATGAACTTGTCTTAGCTTACCAAAATACAAACAAACCGAAAAGAAAAAGACAAAACAGAGAAATTAAACTGCAGTGCTTGTTTGTCTCTGGCTCAGCTGACCGCCAGCTCAAAAGAAGAGTCCTCTCATCCTCCGGCCGATGCCCTGTCTGTCGTACAGGACGTTGAACTTGTTGATGAACTGGTTCATACTGTTGCAGGTCTTGGTGATGGTTCCTAAGTAGGCCATGAGGCCCACGTCATTACATTGCTGCAGCGAAAACAGAGGCAGAGTTACAGAAAGAATTTGTTGTCAGGATTCACCACAATCATCTCATCTCAAATTACGGTTTTTTCTTTATGGAGACAAAACTGAGCAGTATATTTATTTCAAGAGAAACATTCAGATTCAGAAACTATCTGTTTTCAAGGATTCCTATTTTCAGTCAGGATAAACAGGCGTGAGGCTGAGTGTCATAAACTGGAAAATGTCCTGGAAAATGTCCAGAACAATCAGGTGAGCGGTCGTGGTAGAGCGTGCAGGAGACAGGACATGACGCAGAAATTCCACAATGGAAAGCACATGTTTTTGTTTACAGCATATCGACACTGGTCCCCATCGCTAAAAGCACGACAGACTCAAAGTCATCATCTTCACCAGCATCATCATAATCATCAGTCTGCTTAAAATCTGATATTTGGAATTAAACAATCTAATATTAAAACATAGTCATTAAATGTGTAGGTGAGACAAAAAGCTTGCTTACATCGTAGAAGTCAGTTTTAAATTTGATGGTGCTGAGGACCGGCAGTCTATGACACAGGGCGTTTGCTTCTCGAAGGATCTCGTGGTTGAATGGCACCTCTCCTGCAGAACATGAAGGCAGGGGGAGAGGAAAAAAACACAGAACTTGTTATGTAAGGGACAATAAAAAGAGCTCAGATGATGCTATCAAACTGCAGCTTGTAATTATGGTGCTGTGTTCTGGTGGGGCCCCACTAAATGGTGTAAAAGTGAGGAAAGGAAACATCATATTTAAAAACAGCTGGTTTCCAGACATATTTCCACCTTCTTTGTTCTCGGTGCATAATTAAAAAAACCAGTCAGTCCTCTCACCTGTTTCCACGGCTTTGACGTACTCGAGAATGATCTTCACCCGACTATGGAGCATCTTTATCGCACTGTGCTGGGCTATGAGGTGTTCAGCAACTGAGAGACATAAAAAAAACATCAGTGTTAAAAACCTTTTCAGACAGAATTTATTTTCATCTAATATAAGTCAGGTAACAGGAGAGCATCTCCCTTTACATTTCTTCAGTTTGTTCAATCAAAGTTTGCCAATAAAGCAAGTTTGAAACTTAACCACCATTAACAATAAACTTTATTAAAGCATTAGTATTTCTCTTTTTTATGAGCATTCAGTTTGCCTGGAGGTGTTTATCTTACACTGTTGCATGACTCTGTAAAGACTTACATAGCTACCATTAGAGAATGCTCTGCAATGTGATTAAATCTCTGTCATCACAGCTGCTTGGACAAAATATAGAAAAATAACAGATCGAGAGAATTATAATAAATAGAAACATTAAATGTAAATACGAATATGTAAAAAATATATGCATTATACTACAATACATAGAGAAAGAAACTGAGATGGAAACATTTTTAAAATATCTATGCTACAAAAGCTGAAACGTAGTTCCAAAAAGTAAACAAATGTTGAAAATGTAAAGCATAAAATAATGTACTTCTGATTATTTCTTTGAATGGAATAAGGGTGCTTGTATTGTGCTTCAAAATGATCAACAATTATTAAATTAATCAAGTACTGACTGAAGAATTAGAACTCATTCATCCTCAGAACATCACTAATGGAATTTCATGAATCCTTATTGTCGGACATTGTAAGTAGAAGCTGTGAAAACTGTTTGTATTATCATAAGTCTGAGATAAGAGCGGAGATAAGGGCTTTTATTGGTAACTGTAAAATAAGCAGTCGTCATATAGGCAGCTTTATAAACTAGTGAGAAGGTTTCCAACAGGACACTGGAGAGAATGTGAGCTCACTCCCTGTCATTAGCATTTAAAGCAGTAGAGCTGTAGTAGCAATTCTGTTGACAAACCTGTCGAGTTTTCTCCTGTGCCGGTGGCGGTCATTCGAGCGACGTGGTCAACACCGATTCTCTCCGCTTCCTCTGTGGCCAGAGTGTACGTCAGCTCAGCAAACAACATGGTCGCCTGGGCAGAAAAAAACCCCACACACATGAAGTTTGCTCAGAAAAAAAATGGTCATTGAATAAGAAAAAAATGGATATTACATATATCGTACCTCGCCATTGATGATGTCAATCACAGATTCATAAACACTAACAGGTAGCTGTAAGAAGACAGGACATGTTTTCCAGCAGCAGTATCTGAATGCGTAACATAACCATGCAGTTGTTGAATTCTTGAATGGATTTAAAATGCAGGGAAACTCACGTCGGTGTGTTTGGTCATTGGGTTGAGTTTGAGGAAGAGAGGGCTCTCAATGATCTCACACACCTGGAAGAGGAGAAGGAAACAACTGTAAGAACAGGGGCCGAGCACAACCTCAAATAATCATGGCACTTGCCACTGACTGAACATGTGATGATCTCAGTTGTTCATCTTCTGCCTTCATTGACTGTAGATGTTGTAGCTGTAACTTTTGCCTACCTGCTTGTGAATGTGGATATCTGACTGGTCTGGTGGCCCCCCCGTGGTGTACCAACCCAAGAACTCCATCTCTTTGAAAACCTGTTTGACTGAGAGATCAAATTAAACGTTACAGAAGAAGCATCCGATTTTGTGTTAACCACATTTCACTAATACTTTTGTTTATCAATAATATACATTTTTTTCACATCCAAATCCTGACTTCCTGTTACATTTTATTCATTTCAAAATGTCACCTCACAGATGCTGGGGACCAACCCACTGGCTGCTCTGTGTTTTACAAAAATTGTCCTTGACACATACACAGCACTTACATTGTTCTTCCTTGGTGTAGTAATACTCCTTGTCAATATGCACTCGTTCATCTATGGTGTGAGACAGCAACTCAAAGGAGTTCATCACCTCAATGTTTCTACCCTCCTGCTTCCCTATCAGGGCTCCGATCACTGAGCAGGAGACAAAACAAAATGATCTCTTTTATTACACTTAGTTTCAGAACAAGTGATGCACCGCTTTAATTTGTGCCATTATCCCCTCAGAGCATCCTCATACATACCCTGCATTGGTTGTCCCTCTTGTGAGCGGATACGTATCCAGTGGTCGGATATGTTGAGGATAACCAGAGGATGTAAGGCCACAGAAACGCTCCCAGTGACTCCTGCGGCCATAACACTGGGGCTGGCTACAGTCACACAGAGACACACAAAAAACTCTTTTACAATACAGCAACTGCACTAATTCAAATGTCAATTCATAGATTATTTTGGCAAAATGTTTTTAATACTTGATTAATTATTTAAGTCATTTATCAAACGAAGATTGGAAATAATTAATAGCTTCAGCTTCTCAAATATGAGGATTTGCAATCACAAATAGGCTTAATTTAGGATTTAGGATTATTGGCTGAACAGAACAAGATGTGAGAAAGTTATCTCAGGATCTGGGAAGTTGTAAGGCACCTTTTATGATGATGAAACGGTTTGATGATTTTGGAGGATGTAGTTTGTGGCACTGTTACAGTCGCATTATACAGAGATGTGTTTCTGCTCTTTAGCAGAGGAGGAAAGGACTTTAACATGAAGTAAAAGATCTGGTGTCCATCATACATACTTTTGAAATGAACAATATTTACACAGACTCTGGACATAAAATAAATGGAAGTACATTAAAGGATTTAAAATAAGATACTAGGCCAGGGACAATAAAACAATATAATGTTCATCGATAACAATTTGACATTTATTAATTGTTGTTGCGGTTTGTCATTCTCTGATCATAAAGCGTTTAAAACCACAACCTTCACTCAGGAGCAAAACTCTGTCTTTAAACTAATTTAACTAATAATGTGACATTTATCGAGACAATTATCGATATCGACTGGTGAATATTTATATCTCAATATATTTTTAACCACATCAGCCAGCCTTAGACTCTCATGTAGAAAACCTTCCCAGACACGAGTTACTGTTCTAAACAGAAGAGTTTACAGATCTTGCCACATGTCTGGGTGGATGTTTCAGTGAACGGTGCAGATGTGCTGACACTTTGGTTCATCATCTGTATTTTGAGATCAGGTTATTGTTAT